TTATGATTCATTTGATTTACCTTATTATATTCGGAAATCATCCCGCAGAGTGATATTTTGGCGTGCTTGTTCACGTGGTTGAGAACGGCTTCAAGCATCTCACCACCAACGTTGTCAAAGTAAAAATCAATACCCATCAGGACAGTACCTGCAAATTATTTTATTGTTATAAGTGGCAATTGAATCCTTAATTAAGATAACTATATGTTTGTGATAGATGTCTTGTTGAGAGAGAGGAAAAATTGGAAAGAAAAGAAAAGAAAAGAAATATATACTTGCTCAAGGCAGCATCAAAATCCGATTCCTTACGGTAATTGAATCCATCATCGTAGCCAAATTCCTCCTTGATGAGCTTCACCTGATCACAGACCAGTCGTTTGACATTTCCTCAATGATTCAAATAACGAGAAACGGATTATCACGATCATATATATCACTCGATTAATTGATCCAAATGGGTACGTAAATCATGTAAATAGAACTAGAGTGCTCAATAGGTTAGTACTAGTATACCTTATGATCAGAGCGGTGCTTCCGATGACCCGACAGCCTCGGAGCTTAGCCAATTGGCCGGCGCAGGTTCCGACGGCACTGCAGGCTGCTGATACGAACACATTGGATCCTGCCTTTGGCTGTCCCACCACCTCCACACCCACCCACGCCGCAAACCCCGGTACTCCTATAATCACTCAAATAATTGATATGAATAGTATGTAGTGTATATACAGAGCAATTATTAATGACGATCTTTTGCTGAAAGGCCACCTAGAGAAGTTGAGATAGTCTGGCAATGCAATCCCGTTGGAGAGATCAATTTTCCGAAGGAGATGAGACGATGTGACGCAATACTCGGCGATCGGAGAAGATGGATTCAGAACTATGTCTCCCTCCTTGTAATCACTGTCCTTTGATCCTATCACCCTTCCTATCCCGAACGTTTTCATCACCTGCTTTCACAAGCCAGCATGCACGCCATGAATCTCAATTCTCAAGTCTTCTTGTGAGGAGAATAACATCACACACACATGATACAATGAATGCTATTGAAAAGGACTATAAATACTAAATATATATGCTCGCCTGGTTAAGCGGAAGCTGGGGGAAGAAAAGCCCATCGTTTGTTCCAGTGAAGGTGGCGCGCAGGTACGGCTCCACTGACAGGAACATCAGCTCAATTGCCACGTGGCCGTCCGGGATAGAATCTCCACCCAGTGATACTTGAAAGCTTCGGAGCTTCAGATGTTCTGGGTCGGAACACCTTCCGGGCAATACGCTGCCACTTGCCATTCTCTGCTTTCCACCACATGATGATCTCTCTCATTTCTTCTTCTTCTTCCGTGTGCTGTATCAACTTTGGCCAGGCCAGTGATCGAGATTTCAGAGACTGGCTTGGTCTTTATAGATCATACAACCATGCATCTTCTCCAAATCGTGATCTTCATTCCAACAAAACAAAAAATCCGGCTTCTTTAAGTTTTTTCTTTTCAAATTAATTGTGTGTGTGATGCCAATTGGTGTTAGTATATGTTGTACATTCATTCCTACAACTCTATATCTTAGTCATAAATATGAAATCTTTGAGATTTTTCTTCCCTTGTTCTATCGGCCTGAATAGCACTGATATATTTCTTTCCTGATTCTACTGGCATAATCTCGGCAATCACTCGACATTTACCATCTTAGCAATTAGCATTAAAAGAAAGATTTCGATTTCAAATATTGTCCGTACTAATTAATTAAATTTCGTCAAAAAGAAAAACAAACTAACTAAACGAAAGACTTTTTCAGCAGCTCACACTTTGATATTATTGAAATGCAAAATAATTTAGGAGTAATGACATTTCTATAAGCACTCAAAGTTCTGCATTTTAATATCATTTCGGTAACAATTAGTATTTCTGTAAAATGCTGTCCAGATAGAAATTTCGGTATTATTACGTCAGATGTTTGCCTAAAAGACATCTGCATCAATTTTTTTTTTTTTTTTTTGGGGTCCAATGCATCATTTCATTATATATGGAACCAACCACTGATGTGTCCAGCGCCCGGCAGAAGTTTTAATTTCCCTATAAATCATGCAGGCAAGACGATGTGCTACAGTCACAATAAGAAAATTGTTGGGGAAGATAAAAATATCCTTGAACAAACGCTAGAAGGAGGGCTTGAACCTCCGACCTTGTGGTTAACAGCCACACGCTCTAACCAACTGAGCTATTCCAGCTGTCAGTATTGGCTTTTCGTATTATTAATTTTTGGCAACTTCGAACAGCTCCCAATCTTTCCCCCCTGAAAATGAAAAGTGATGCGTGGGTTTCCAACATCTCTGTCGTTCCAAACGTCCCCTTGGCGGACTCCTCCCGATACGGAACTGGCTTGCCTATTTGATTCCCCCCCTTCCGTTTGAAGTTAGTTTGGTGCTGTATAAGAAGTAAGGAAAATTGTTTTAAAGTCCAATACATAATTATTAAAGGGTAAAATTAAAACCAACAAAGCAGCTTACAATACTATATTTTAGTATACAAAATAATAACTTCTACTTCTTACGTGTTATAAGACTTTTTTATGATTATCTTTTTTTGATTGGAGCCTCGTAACAATTCTTCTATAAGATTTGAGATGAATTACTACTCTCGTTTATTCTTTTTAATATTTTTATATTATACTAAAATTGAAAATAAATAGCAATGTAGCCCAATTTCAAGGCAGAATCCTTGACGGTAGTCACAAAGACCCCAAGTAGGGCACCCCTTGTCCTTGGGTTCAGCTGGTAAAAAAATCGGACTCTCCTACAATCCTAGAGTTAGTCAAAGCGCGGGGGGGGGGGGAGTATTCAAAATCAACACCTCAGATCGTAACATGTGGTGATCTCTCATATGGAGCCCTCCCCATCCAGTTGAAGATATGGTGCAGGTAGGATTGAAGTCAAGGGTTAGTTTCCTGCCTTTGGATCGTGAGTAAGTTCCTAAAATTTCTCTCACCAAAAAAAAAACCAGAAAAAAGAAAGGACCCCAAGTAGGGCTGAGCGATGTGGAGGGCAGGAGGGCCGAAACCAACTCCAAAGACCTCTATGATGGGCTATTTCTAGTTTCCATACTATCAGTATCTTTTGAAAAAATTATTCGCTGGCCCCATGCAAAAAATCACATTATAAAAAATATGTTTAAATTATTCAAATACTTTGAATTCCTATCCTTTATTTGTAAATAAGATCTAATAGACATTTACCAAAATGTTCTTAATTATATATTAAAAAAATCCTTCCCATCACCTATCAGATCAAAGGCAGGTTAACGACACAAGATCCGTATTTGACCGGGTGGCCAAAAACTATGAAGCAAAAGAATAGGAATACAATGAAAGTGGATAGTGAGCCACGACGGCCGTCATAACGATTACTTCTGCAGGATCAGACCTAAAAAATGTCACAAAACAAAACTCCTCCATATATTACATCATATATTGTAAAATTATTTTTAAATCCCATCCATACACCCTTAATATCGTAAGGTTGGACCTAGCACCCCTTTATTTGAAAGAATCGAGGATGACGCCTCCATTGACGGATAAAACAATTTTTCATATTATACCTCTCTCTCCCCTTTTTTGGATTTTTCTTTTAGGGGTGGGTGGCTGCTGGCTGGGCAGGAAGGGCGACGCGACCGAAATCTCATGATCAGAGATTAAACCCAATTGAACTATACAAATTTCATCCGTTTAGGATTAGGAATGAACAGAGTTCTCAAGTTTTGGTATTCATAAAGATAGTCATCATACACATTAGCAACTTCAGCAGAAATAATTCAAACCGGAGAATTTACAACTAGAGCTAACTAGTTCGAGGTCGCTTATTTCCTTCTGAAAGTTGGTATACACATGGCTGCTGTTAGGTATTATTCCATCATCCCGAACGTGTTCTCCCCGCTGTAAGTCATGTACAGGAAACCATCTTCATCCTTATTTTCCTCATAAATTGCAGACATCATAGCAGCTGCATCAACACAAACCAACTGCTCAATTGACGAATTTCATCCCATTTGGTATAAGCACTGTTCAACACAATAAAAACTGGAAATTCCAATTAACCTCACCAGTCGGAGGTAAAATGTTTTTGACGAAGATAAAGATGGCCTTCTCAGGGCTCAGCTTGATTCTCTTTCTCACAACATACACAAACTGTCCAACAGTCAGATCAGCAGGAACCAGATACCTACACTCGTCCGGTAGCAACTAATGTTGATATCATGTCTTAAGAGAGGCATAAATCAAAAGAAAGGAAAGGGTTTTTTTTTATGATATTCGTGGGACAGCAAAAGCAAATACAGATGCAAAATAATCGAATGTTCAAATAACTCTCAAACCCCCCGGGGGGGGGTCTAGAGGTACAGTTGACAAGAAAATGTAAGACCAAGTTAAGATAAGCATTTGTCAACAAAAGTACATTCCCCTGTCCCGCATCTAATCTTGTTATTGATCTTCCTCATATCTTTAAGAATTTTGACAAACCGTCGATGTAGGGGAACAATGGGGGAAGAGACGCAGATTGAACTCAAAATTTTGCACCCCTGCCACTATACTGCTGAAAATAACAGAGAATGCAGACCCTAGCCTCCATAAAGTGCTTATCAGTCTCACTTTCATCCCAGCTCAACCCCAAATATACACAAGATTTGCAGGTTCAATAACTTTTATTAATTTGATCAATGAAATAAACAGACAAAGCAACATAACAATCCAGCAATACGAATCAAAACCATTCCATCTGAACGCAAAGAAACATGATTAAAATGGCTCAAGCCAGAGAAAGCCTAAGTGTTGATGAGTAGAAAGGTGTCAGTATTGTCGCATCTAAATATATAAATCACATGATGCTCAGAATTTTAAATAGATGAAACATGGCAACACTTTCCTGGAAGGCAAGCAAGAAAAAAAATAATAGGAAGAACACTAGAAAGAAAATGAAGGTTCATATATCACGGCTAAATTAAGTCAAAGGGGAAATAAAAAACAGAGAGAGAATCTAACTTTTTCTTATCAATTTCAGGAACGTCACTCTTTTCAGCCCTTTCAACGATAACCTACACCAAAATAATCAACCGGACTAAGAAGCAAACAATGAGATAATGGGTGAAAGGTACAGATTTGATGAAGGCAAATCTTACCGGTATCCTATCAGGATACTTTTCTCTGATGCGAGCAGCTTCCGCCTGCCTCCTTTCTGGCAAGCAATGCTTGAACATATCAGATGATATAAGATGGAAATAAGGGGTAAGAATTCAAACTCATATGCACTTGGGTGCGTTCGTCGCTAAGACATGCTGACTTTCATAAAATTGATAGTTGATGAGTGCAACGTGTGGGTGTTTGGAAACCAAGTAAAAAAGCACCTTTGCGCATAAGAAGGCACTTAATAGAGTAAAAATTCCAATCCAATTTTTTTCTCAATCAGAAGGACAAATACTTCACGAAACCCCAGAAAGATACTACTAAGCATACTTCAAATTATTCTGATTACATTAAATTCAGAAGCCCTAGCCAACAAGGGAAAAACCTCGAGCCTGAAGTTACTTATCCCATGAAGTATACGATACAACTTACAACCATAACGATGAAAACTAAAGAATCAGAAAATTAAAATGAAGAGGGAAACAAACCAAGGGGGTGTTCCATCTTGAACGAACTCTTAGCCATGGCAACAATTCTGCAGCAGAAAAGAGGTAAATATCTAATCAGTAATTAGGGTTAACCATACGCTCAATGATCCGACGGAACAAAATTCCGCAAGAAAGAAAAGAGAGAAACCAACTTCACAGTTGGGAAAGAAGGAAATTCGTACCCGCGAGTGTGGAGAAGATAGAGATATAGAGGGTTCAAGATCCCCAAAACGAGATGAACAAATTCTGCGGGGCGCAGCGGAAATCTTATTATATACTTACCTTTTTTATATTATTTTGCCTTTATTTATTGGGAAAATGGCATCGGGCGTAACTATTAAATTAGCAGATGCCAAAAATCCTAAAATGTTAATGTAAATTATTGGTTTTTTAATTTTAATAAAATATAAAAAAATAATGTATTTACATCTAACTTTTGGTATGCCAATGATTTATGTACACATAAGTTAAAAAATTTCAAAAAATTAAATAAAAAAATCTCAAAGTCAGAAATCTAAAGGTCACAATGAAAATTATTCTCAATTATCATTTTTTTTCAATTCACAAGGGGTAAGTCGTGATATTGCACGACCCCCGTTATGAAAAAGGAATAATTGAAGATAAGAATGAAATGAAAATGGATTATAGTTGTAAGTTTTCGTAATTACTATTCTGTCGTCTTCATAATTGTGGGGTGCATGACCCAACGAGGAAGCTTCATAAATTTGCAATGAAGACAATGCTAATGCCAAAATTTCCTTCGGCGTCTCTCTCTCTTCAGCAATTTCCTTCATAGGTTGCTTGCCATTTTATTTATTCAGCAAAAACAAAAAAAGAAGAGGGAAAAAAAAATACGTATAACCCAAAAAGCTGTGCCTCAAGGTTGAAGCCCAATCCATCCAACAGCTGACCCAATTCACAAGTCCATCAACCTTTGACAAAGAAATCCACACAACTTACTAAACGACTGCTACTAATAACTAATAGTACCTTCAATTCTAATTATAAGAGCTGATTGATCAATTTAAGAATATTAAAAAATCAATTAAATTAGTTATTTGTAATAAATAGGTGTTTTTTTCCTAAAATATCATTACTAATCAAGTCTGGTGGCTAGAACTCCTATTATTAGAAGGTATGTCTTAGAAAAAAAATGCATAAATATTAGAGACAAAGTGGATTGGGATCTTATATTCAAAACTAGAATAAAAGTCAAACAAGATCTTATATTAAGAACCGGAGGTAATATTTTACTAAAAACCCCGTGAAAGTTGGGTCTAACAATTTTTCACAGTGTAACCAACCCCAAAAAAAATTACTAAACGAATATATGCTCATCTGTAAAATCTAATTGTTGAATTGATCTTGATCCTAAATATGATATCTATTTATCATATTTATTAATTTTTTAAAATTATCCATATTGATACTTTGTCAACTATAATCAAGTAGGACATGAAGAGAGGATATTAAGAAAAATGATTATGGTATTTAAAAAAAAACATGTCATATTTTTTACAATTAACTAATTTATCTAACTTTCTTCATCTAATCAAATTAGTTAAATATGTTTTATATTAAAGATGGAAGGAGCATTACTGTTTTTAAGTTGAACATATCACCATTTTTGGTTGGATGGCTCCACCTGTTTCGAAATATTCATATTAGTTTTAACTTAATATTCTGTCTTGGAAAAAATTTGATTACTCGAATGCCTGTTTCGACATCATTTTAGTGCAACTTATTTATGGTTTTTTTTTTTTGGGGGGGGGGGTTGTTTGTGGGGCACAATATAGGAATTGCCCTATCAACTTTTTGCGCGCAGACACTAACCTAGCAAATGTAAGAATCATACGGAGTTAAGAGACACAAAACGAAACGAGCGAAGTGAATTTTTTTTGCCTTGCCAGCCAAAAAGGAATCTTTTCTTTTACCAGAACTTAGAAAATAAAAATAATTAATATCAGATCATATAAATTTTGAAAGCCAAAAGCGGTTAGACATATATAATTTATTGCATGAAAAATAAGACATATATATTATCTATGATATTTTGATCATCTTCATTAATCATTTTTTAATCTTTTTTCAGTTTGAACATGATGTGATATCATAAAATGATATAAGTTCAAGGAATGGAAAAATTTTTTGTAATAAATGGAGAGAAGTTTCCCACTAAAAACTTGCTAGTATTTAATTTAAGTTACTCACTAAGTAATATTTTTTAACAGCGACTTTTTTTTTTTCAAATTAATGTTGAAAACAGTGCAATATTTAAATTTGGAGAGAAGGAACAGGGAAGAGGAGTAATAAATAAGAGGAGTGAATCTCACATGCATTGCCTGGCCCCCCTGCCTATCTCTTTGTTCTCATCAAAACAAACACTAATGTCTGTATCCCCTGCTGCCTATCTTCCACTTTCCATAACTCCATGTCCTTCTCTCCCCTCCTTCCCCTTCCATCTCTTTTTATTTCTTTATTTATTTCCCCATCTTCTTAATTTACTTTATCCCATCAATCTCTACTCCACAAAACTTGCCTTCTGCGTCATCACTTGTTTTCTTCTTCTTTTTCTTATGAACACGGTTTACTACACTCACAAAGAAGAATTATGACTTTAAGGCGGCAACTTGATTTACATCCATTCACTGGAACTGAGGCAATTTGATATGGTGAATTAAAAACCAGCAAAACAAAGCTAAAATCAAAACATCATGCCTTGGCTGTTACTAAAGCTTTTTAGTACAGCCCCCTCGTACGTTAGTTAATGAGCGTCGTTGTACACCATTTTCTACAAGGAAATGCAGACAGAAAGCCATGTGTGAGAAGAAACAGGTCTCAGTGATGCATCAATGGCAGGAAGTAATGGAATATCTGAACCTACGAAGTGCCTCGTGAGAGGATGGGCATCATGACGATGACTAAAACAGTACCAGAAACCCAAAACCCAGAAAGAAAGCAAAGTCCCTCTCTGTTTCTTTTTCTTCTTCCTCACCTCGCTTTCTATTGCAAGCATTAAATGCAGATTGAAATTTGAACAGAACCAACATCCCCTCTTCCCCCACCCCATATTCCATAAATGCTGCCTCATTAAAATCCCCAGATTTGTCTCCTCTGACAGTCGTCACGATTCCTGTACCCTCCCTCCTTAAATTAATATTCCCAACTTCCTTACTTGCTGGGTTGTTGGAAAATTTAATGCCACTTCTTTAATGCTACCCATATTTCCTTCTTTATAACTTATCACTCTCTCTCCCATTTCTTCTCCGTTCATGTTCGTCTCCGTTTGCTTCATTTGTTTCATGCTTCTCTGGGTTTGTTTTATTTGAAGCGTTGTGGTTGAGAAACAAGCCAGTGAGAGGCAAACATGGCGAGCAAGGGGGTTAAGGGGACCCAGTTCAGCGAGATATTGGTGCGGTTCAATAAGAAAGCAAGGCTCAGATAGGGGTTGGACCCTGTTTTTTGATTGAGCCGTGCCAATATCACGTGCCACTTCTCCTACAACCCCTCCTATATTCAAAGCTCCAAAAGGTAGCCTCCCACTTATGTTTCTGTTGATGTTTTTCTCGACCTGCTTAGGTATATTAAGAAATTGATCCTGCCTGAAGGCAAAGACAATTTTGAATTCACTTAGGCCTTTTTGTTTGTTTTCATAAAGTGGAGTGAAAGAAGATGGAGCGGAATGTGAAACCTAAGGCCAATTTGATTTGTGTATCTGTCAAGTAAAGGAGTCTTTTGGTTTAGCCTGCATTCCTAACTTGTTCCAATTATTATTATCTTGTCTCGCTATCTGATAGTACCACAGAGATTGCAGCTTACTGCATATTACTACTCCAGCATTCAGGTGATAAGAAAAGGAAAGAATCTTCTTTTTACTGAACTCAGTATTAATATTATATAGTTCAAATCTGAAGCAAATCTCAAATAAGGTAAGGTTGCAGCCCCACATGAGATATGAGAATCTGAGCTCTTCCAAACATCTTTGTTTTGGTATTTTCACTTTTACAGTAAGATAAACGTTTTCTTTTTCCTTTTCAGAAATGGAGTTGCTTAAGGCATACATATATGAAGGCATGATGCTTATTATTACTTATTATATTTCTTTCTAAAACAATGCTATGGGTTCGATTTGCTGAAGGGGTAGCGGTTTAGAAATGGCGTTGCTGTAAGTAAATTGTGGACTATAAATAGCACAGTAAGTTCGGAGCAGAAAAACTCATCAATGGAAGAAGCAGTTTCTTCTACTCATTTCCAATTATGATCACTGGGTAGGCCCAAATGCCGATTCTCCTTCGAATCATGCGAGGCAATCTGAACTCCTTCTTGCCAAATCTTAAATATTTTAGGGTTCTTCATCTGTTCATTTAGTTAGGTCTCTTCCTTTCCTACAATGCAATCATTATTATTGTTGTTTTTGTTGCTATTTAGTAGTGCTTGATGTTTTTTTTTTTTTTTTTAATTTGAGGAAAGGTTTCTCTTTTCAAGATTTAATGATTTATAGCATAAACGGTTTTTGCCTCAAATGTATTTTCAGATACTTGAATTTGTATTTTCTGCTTTGCACCTCATTCAACAACTTGTTGGTACATAAAAGTATGTTTTAATTAACCTATATAAAGGATCCTAAAAAGTTTAAGTAAAGGAGACTCCTTAGAGGCCATGGGTTTTGAAACTCCTCCCATCAGAGTTTAAACATTCGTACATGAGGTCAATAGTTTTTGTTTGCCGCTCTAGTTCTAAATGTAAATCAGTCACAGTTGTAATGTTTAACGTTTGTTTTTAAATTTTTTTTTATTTAATTCTCATTATATTGGAAAAGAAAGAAGGAAGGAAGAAATATGAGAATAATTTGGAAATATTCACTAAAAAAAAGAATAATTGGTAAATGTAGAAAAAAAAACTTTAATAAATATAAAATAAAAAATTTTCTATGTTTCAAATAACGTGTATTAAGAACAGTATATTTTTATTTTTTGATTCTCATTTTCTAATGTGTTTTCTTAAATCGTACGCGACATTAGTGTTTGGCATTCTGATATTTTAAATATTTAAAAATTATGTATGAAACATTTTAGTTTAAAACAAATGTTACCAAATTATTTCAATAATAAGTTTAAAATTTTACATTTTTGTTTACTGCGTTGAAAAAATTATTATTTTTAAATAATCGAATATCTTCGAACATATCAGTGAGGTTGGAGTGTGGAAATCAGCCTGTAAGCATGCATACAAGGTTGCACTATCTAACCATCTCTTATCTCCACCTTCCTCATACTGTAAGTTTCTTCCCCTCCCTCTTCTTTCTACCTTCGATAATTTTCTCAAAATTGTAGTTGAGAATCTTGGTTTTAAACAAAATTCAGATACATTCCTTGTTTTTTTCCCCATAAAAGAAAGAAAGAAGGAAAATAAAAGGATTGAGGAATCTGGCCATGTAAATATAGGAGAGGTTATTAAGAGAGTAATACAAGAACTTCAACCTTGAAAAACAAGAAACCAAATTGAGAAGATATCTACATTTATTTCTTAGGAGCTTGATAGCCATGGGATCTATTATTAACATACAAAGTGGCCCTTCAAGCATTAAAGAATGGGCAGTGCTCAGTGACTGACTATCTTGGTGCTTCCTCATTCTGGCTGCTGCCATGGTCAATCTCCTCAAGTAAAATATTGAAGGTCCATGGAACAACCCCACACAATCTCTCTCCCCCTCTCTTTCTCTCATCTAATAAGATATTTCTTTATATACTCAGAAAAATATATAAGGGATCAAAAAAAGAAAAGACAAAATCCTGCAAGCCTAATAGATTGCTATTCTGATAACCTATCTTCCGGAGATCAGAAGAATTCCGAGTCTTTGCCTAGAAAGAGGCACTCCATAAGGCCTTCTCGCCTTCTCCACACCGCCGATGGACCTCTTTGATTCTTTCAGCAGACCTGCAAATGCCGCTGCAGGTCCAATCAAATGAAGCAACACAAACGTTGCCTGCTTGAGCCTTCCATTCACAATCTGCAGAGAGCAAACACAACTCAAGAATTCACATTTGCTGTACAAACAGGGTATTCATGAGCTTTTGCAGATGATTGTAATTAACGTATCAGAAGAAACCTTCACCTGGTGGGGTGCCACAGCAAAGTCTTCTATCATCTATATGCTCCACATCAAGTCCTATGAACCAAGCTCCGAGTGAGACATCCTCGTTGGCATACTTGTGAAGAACGTGCCTGAGACAATCACGGACATATAAGAACCATCAAAAGCTCGAACTTAAAAAGCAACAACATTGATACAGGAACCATGGTCCATAATCCTATGAAATAGTTGGCGTCTCTGTATAATTTACAAATGGTGTATGTATAGCAATAAACTAAAACCTTCTTCTGAAATTTAAATTCAAATGATCATTTTTGTTTTTCCTCTTAGTTTCTGGGGAGTGAGGGGAAGTAGGACTTACTGGTTTATTGAAATATACGAAGCCAAGTCTTTGGAAATGGCATACAATTGACCTGTGGCATGACGGAAGTACCTGTTTCCAGCCTCGCCAAATTTCCAGTATTCAGGTTCATGGTACCTTACCCCTCTGGGTAACAGATTAGGCAGGTAATAAGCTACAATTGAAAAGGCAAATTCTATCTTTCGATAGATAAAATGAAGATAAGAGAGAAGTCTCACTTTTGATTAAGGACCGGTCCAGATTTCATGCATCCAATGTATATTCGAGGTTTTGATCGGTGTCTAACTAGAGTTTCTCCTAATGTTGCTGAAACACATTAAAAAGGACGCCCGAAGAAAACATTACGGATACTTGCTAAATAAGTAAACTGAAACCTATGTCCACTTTTTTTTAGGTATAAAGCCAGATATTATAACTTTCTTGAAAAACTTTACATACCAATGTTGACATGAACATCATCATCAACTTTAACATAGAAATCAGCATCCCACAAGTTAACAGCAGTAGTAAAGTATGTCTTTGTCTTGGCTGACAATTCTAAGTATCCTTCGACATGATCCTGCAGCAACAAAGCACAAAAGTTTGAAAACCTGACACTTTTTTTTTTTTTTTTTGCTTTTTCTCTTGTAAGACTGACCATGTCATCTTATATAGTGATCGCACAAGAAGGATCATAATATATTAATTACCAGCTTCAGGAAGTCTCCATGCTTTTGGTCCTCCGCTTCAATAGCTCTGTCCAGAATACCCCCTGATGTAGCACTTGGTGAGGAGAAGAAACATGTCAAACTTATGATTCATTCGAGAATATCCAAAACTAATACTGTAATTGATTTGACAAAAGACCTCAGGTGGAAGTTCCTCATATTGTTATGGGATTTGAATTGCACAATTCATTAGCTATTGACTCTTAATTTTAAATAGGGGAATTAAACCTTCCCCAAAGCTTGTAAAGTAAATCAAATGGAAATTATGCAACAAAAGCATGAAGAGATGCAATGGTTACCTGTGGCCAATGACAAAACGGATGATAATGCCCTTCTCTTCCTCCAGCTTCTTCCTTTTCTCACCTATTGTCCAGATTGTCATAAGAACCAAACATCAGAAATCACAGTCCAAAACAGGAACAGATTAACTTAAAAAACTAATTAAAATGTAAGACGAAAAGATAAATTCAAGAACCTTGTGGCATCCAAGTTGCACGAACTGAGTCTCTTCTTTTCCGGCTGCTAAAAGCAGTGTTAACTCCTATAACCATTAAGTACCTTCTCTTGCCAGACGGCTGAACTATCTCTGAACCTTCCGATACAGGAGCACCACTGCGCAAAGACTCCTGAGTTGCCCTTGCTGCCGCCAATTCCATCTCTAGATTTGATATGGTCTTGTCCAAAGTTCTACATTCAATATCAACACAAGATTTTGCACTTAGAATGATGGCAAGTCAGCCTAACAATAGCATTATGAGGTTAATAACTTCCACTTACTGTATCGCATTATGAGTCTTGGAAACTTCTCCTAAAACGTCCTTAGAATCTCTCTTCACTTCCTTCTCACGCAACTAGAGGAAGGATCACAGAAAGAGAAACCAAATATAGGTACCTTAGATGATAGACACATGATGATTGAGTGGATTCAAGTAACAAAAAGAACAGCTGTGCTTACAATTCTTGGATTGCAACCCTCTGAAACTACGTTCAACTTTTGAGCTTCCATGGGCGTTAGTCGAGCTAGTCCTTTAGGTTCAGGAATAGCCCACATCCTATATGGATCATTTTATATATTTCATAAGAAAAATAACAGAAAAACTCCGCAAACCAGTCTTTATATAATAGAATGGAAAATAAATACAGGCATCGAATATGCACTTCTCACTTGATAATCAAATCAGAATTTCGTCTGGAATCTTTATTTTTTTCTCCCAGTTCAATCGCTTCCATATAACCATCTTATGTTCATTATGACATAAACACACTAGGAACCAGAGAAACAGATGGCTAATGTACCTCTAATTACGTTGAACTATGCATAATAATTAGCGAGGCTGCCAAGGCATATCCGAAAATTAAAAAAATCCATCCTTTCAGGAGTTAAAATCGGGGGAACGGAAGATGGTTGAGAACATGTGTACAGTAGTTGAGAATAAATGGTAATTACTTTTTAACCATTGAAAACGGTAATTATAGTTGCGGACAGATTTATCAACATGAGTATTGCGAACCGAACGAATTAAACCATCAGAAAATTGTTTGTTAGAGAAAGAGCAAAGGAGTTCTCGGGCAGAATCGACAATTGACTCATAACTGGTAGTCAATCTTGCATCTTGAACCTCAAAGTAAAAATTGACGTGGTTTTGATCATTCCAAGTGAATTCAGATCTATACCATTTTTCCCACGAGCTTTGGCAAGAATATGGAGAGTATCTAAATCCATTTTGTGAGCAATAAAAACTAAATCGGGATTTATTGGAACATCGAAAAGAAACAAGATCTTCAAAACTCAGAAAGCCCCGCAAGTAAGTAAATAAATTAATCCCTTGAAAACCAGAATAAATAACGAAAATCTGGCAACACAAGTTGAAGTCATTTAGTGCTCAGTATCCACACAAAGCCATAAATAAACAGTAAGACGAAACAAGTTCTTGATAACCCGGAAGAAACTATCTTTCTTGAGAGAAAGATCGGAAAAAGTGGGGAGAAGGTACAATAAAGATAAGTTAGAGACCTGTTTGTGAAGAACATCCCAGCACAGAAGCTTGCCAGGCAGAGGAAAAGTGTCCATTTTTGAGATATGACGCTTTTAGAATGGAGCTCTCCTTTGGCTTTCCAACTCATTTTTCCGGCAAATTTTCTTCTGACTTGGAGCTCGTCAACAGGCAAATTCCATGAGCAATACAACCAAATCCAACGAATAGAAGAGCAGAAGGAGAAGAGGAGGAGGAAGAAGAATTGAGGGGGCGTAACAGGGAAAGAATCAGAACAGAGAGAGTGTTTTGTTTTTTAATTGATGGTTGGTTCCTTTCTTTTATGCTTTGTCTTGCCTTGCTCTCTCCCTCTCTGTCTCTCTCTCTCTCACTGCTTTCTCTCTCTTCGCAGGTAAGGGACGTTTAGCAGAAGCGAGGAGACATGCTAACCGCCCAGTTTTATGCTTCTAAATTCATTTTGTTACATAAATAAATAAATAAATTTAATGGCCAACTCCCTTGTCTTATATATTCACCAATCGGTCATTTTCCTCGACTCTGACGTGGCCTTGTTTCTAATAAATTTCTCCCGGTCTTATTTTTCCCCTTATCGGATGACCAATATTTGCATAAAAGGTGAAATCAAAATATTTGTAACTAGCGGGCACTCAGACTCTTTCTAACATGACAATGTTTTCTGATAAATAAATAAAAAAAAATCCACTAATTTCATCCCTTTAAAATCCAAGATATTCAACATGTGTAGAAATTTTAAAAAATAATCTGAGCTTACAAAAATATTACCACAATAACTGAACTACTGGTATTATCTAAATTAATAAGAAATTGGCCAAATTGAATTCATCATAATGGAAATTTACAATATGACAAATGCGTTTTATAGAGATCATATCATATTTTTTGTGATTAACTAGTTTTGGAAGTATAATAATTTGATGCAAACCTTCAACCCCCCCCCCTGTGTTTTTTCCCCTCTCCGAATGCGTGTGAGATTTCTTTATCTTGGATGTGTAAATGAGGATGGCTTTATGCGTAAAAGAATATATGTGCTAGCCGTGAATTTTTCCTTTTTTGTGTGAATATCTTGGGGACCAAAAAAAAAACAGAGAAGCCATGGTTGAAGAATAAAGGAGAAGAAGAGGGGAGGGATCCAGATGGAAAGGTGGACCAAGTTGCTATTGAAAGATTCATATGCACCATGTTCCTAAGTGCCGAAGAATTAATGTGGCCATCAGCTGTCCTCTCTCATTAAAAAAGGTCAAAAAAAAAAAAGGGATTATGGATGGAGTCAACCTTCTAATACGTGGTTGACTGTTAACACTTAACGATCGTGGAATCACCGACACATTGCATTGGTACGATTGCCAGGACAATAATCTCAATTTTTTTTGTTTTGCCCCTAATCATTCATTATTCGCAAGATGCGAGGCATAACGTCAGTATCATTAATTAAAATAATACCACAAATGCAGGCAATCATGCTATTTATGAGTTATAAAATTAGCAACATATTTTAGGACTTTTTTAACTGACAATACAAGTCTCTATAATAATAACAATAATAATAATAAAAGGTTCATGCTTAAAACAGCATTAATTTAATTTTTGTGATGCTTCTTTTAAATATTGTTTGGATAAGATGATTGCTAGCTATGTGAAGTAGCCGAGGGGTAGATTGCTTTTGATACAATACATAGAAAAACAATTCAAGCACGAAAAATAGAAAGTCCTTTTTTCCCAGACTATTTAAAAAAAGCATTCCCGTCATCTTGCCAAATATAAACAAACGTAACCCGAGCTTCCTTCTATTCTGACCAAATTTGTTTTTGTAATTTTCTTTTAACAATGTTGAACCGTGCATTATTTACATTTTTATATTTATTAAGCAACCTGTGCAATTTTATATCATTTATGTATTTTTTAAATGAGTCCAATATTATACAATAAGAATCATATATCATAAAATTAATTTTTTAAGTCATTATACATTTAAAATTATTTTCCATTACATATCATTATAAAAACTTCAATTTTACTGAAGTGACTTTACAAAAATATATATATTCAGATGTAAATTGTCACAATAACTAATGTTTATTACATTTCGAAGTTTATTGATCTTCCTATTACTACATTTCATCCTAATTATAAGATTTCGTTAAACGAGGATACAAACGAGGTCTTATAATCAGGAGAGGGTAATATTTGGCAACTGTTGACTTTCCTAAGTATTAGACTTTAAGCTGACGATAATTTGAGAGATTTGAAGTTTAATGACTGGCAATTTGCTCCTTACTCAATTTATTTTGTGGAGGAGTGGTATTTTGTATGGTGGCATTTCCGAGAAATTGTATAGAACATGGAAGAGCAGATGAGATGTAAGTTTCAAAGTTGTTGCGCTGGTCAGTAACACACGTTACCGAAAGTCACATGTGCAAGTACAGAGATATCCTTTTTCCCCCAATCACAACACAGATCTATACAAGCATAGTAAATCATATCACTCTTCTAAGTACTATAAAATACTACTATCACTTATATACTTTAAAGTTCCTGAGTATATATTTATATTTTATTTTCTAAATTTGGAAGCCAAGCAATTGGACTTCTTCATCACATATATGATGTAACGAACCTTGTAAAATAATGTTCTATTATTGTGCAAGAAAAAAGCTCATTTGGACTAACAGAAACACAAGCCTGCCGGTGAGTACGATTTGGTTTATCTCGTATTGAGAGAGATTAAAATTTACGGGATTTTCAGCCCACGTGTCTGCACATGGGTGAAAGACTGAAAGTATTATTATTTAAATTTTCCGAGACAGCTACATGGGTGTGCGAAGCTGTTCAGCCAACCAAAACACAGGATAATGTTATTCAATTGACGATTCAGCATAGAATTTTGGCCTCCTTAAAATTCAAAATTTAAGGGAGCGAACACATAGCATTTTAAAATATTGCCAGCAAAAATTCAATACCCAGCGCACCAACATGCCATCTAATCTAAATTTGAATGATATTAAAAGAACTTGCAATCTATCAGTAGCTTTATACTGTCTTAATCCTTAATATACGATTTAGTTTGATATTCAATTTAGTTATACTTATAAAATCTTAATCCACCTTATTTCTCATAATTATACTTTTTTTTCTAAGGTAATCCTTGTAATAGTTGCAAATATTAAATATTTCATCAAATGATAGTTCTAACTAACACATATGATTAGTATGAACATTCTAAAAAAATAACACTTATTTATTACAAATACGAAACTTAATAAAGTTTTTTAATTTACTCAAATTAATCAATTAGCTCTTATTTTAAGAATTAGAGGTAATATATTATAATAACTTTATAGAAATAGAACCTACCTTGATCAGTTTATAATGATGATGATGTGTATATGTTACAAATATGATTTTTCCCCGCCTTTTTCAGTTTTTGGTTGACACAGAGTATAATTGATGATGGATATTGGAAGCTCAAGTTGGAGAAGCTGAGAGGATTTGGGGAGGATGATGAGTGATCAATGCAAAGTGGGGAACGTGGCGGGCGGGATCCATAACACGTGAGAGAAGGAAGCGGTGTGCAACGTGGCGCAATTCGGTTGGAGGGGGTCCCGTTGAGGAGACAGTGGTCATGTGGGGTTCAGGGCGTTCCTGCTCAGCAGTCACGCGGACGGTGTTAAAAGGCTGGGAAAGAGCGTGCCCCAATCAAGATGCTTACTGACACGTGTCATGATTCCGTGTAGCCCTTGAACCCCATCTCAAGTTCCCCCGCCACACTCATCCCTCGCACGCTCCTCAGCGTGATGAACATGGAAATGGAATCCAGGGGAGGGAAACATCCCGTCCCCGTCCCTCTATTATTATCATCGTTGTTATGATTATTAAATGTTTTATTTTTTTTCGGGGATGATAATGATTGAGTGAAATAAAAGAGACATTCATTTAGAAAAGCAGAAGTACGTGAAGGGGCCGATCCGGAAGACATCCACGTGGTGCAAAACGTGGAAGCACGTTAACAAAGAGGGGCAGGGCACGTGTATCCATTCTTTCTAGCTGCTTTATATGAGCATATTCATGTTTCGTTATTATTAGCCCGATACAAGTTCGTAGTGTAAATTTAGTTATAAGATCGGTTTATAAACTGTAAACAAAATCTTATAATTAGGACTAAAAGTAATAGATGTTATATTTAGGACTTAAACATTTGGAGACAATAAGCTGCTGTAGTACCAGCACTATTAACCGTTTCAGTATGTCTTGCCAATTTGTTTCGAACAATGATACCTCCCTCTTGATGTGTTATGGATTTGATTTTGTTTGTAATCTTATACTCCTCCGGTCCTTATTATAAGACATAATTTGACTTTTTATTTGGTCCTAATTATAAGACTCAATCCATTTTGTCTCTTATATTTATACATTTTTTTCCAAGATAATCCTTCTAATAATGATAGTTTTAGCCAATATACTTAATTAGTAAGGATATTTTAGGAATGACAACACTTATTTATTATAAATAACCAACTTAACTTACTTCCTTAATCTCCTCAAATAAGTCAATTGGGTCTTATAATTAGGACCGGAGGAGTACCATTAATGTTTATCCTTTTAATTAAAAAAAATTAATTCCAAAAAGTGTTGATTATATAGCGGGAAATGGTATAGCACGTGCTCTCATGATTTCAGCAGCCCCATGCATGTGTGCATTATATGCTGCTTCAGTGATCCATTCCCGCTCGTCATGCCTCCTCAATATGTGAGGGTTACTTGCATCTCACGGGAGGCAGGCTTATTCTGAGGATGACAAATAGGGACATTGGCCCGATTGATAACGGGTATATCCAGTTCTCAATCCATTGATAGCCTCAGTCTCCCACTCGAGGGGCAAGGATAGCTAGGCACATCCGTGTGTGTGGGGTCTTCGCGCTCTCAATGGATATATTGTCTCCGGTTGTACTTATAAGACTTCGTTTGTAGACTATAAATAAAGTCTTATAAATAAGACCGAAGGTAGTATTATAAAATCCATCTATGATTAGTATTTGTTTTATTATTATTCGCCACTGGTGGTATGCAGGTATTCATAATTTCTTTTTTTAAAAATATAATGTTTAGATATAGTGTACAGTTTCTTGGTATCTTCTGTACTTAAAAAAGATTATAAACCAAATAATTCTCTCCTCGTAATTAATAAAACTATAATAAAGTCCTTCATTTAAAATGTATTTCACTCTTGTTAACCTCTTCGAAGGAGATAATTGAGAGTACTTTTTATCCGGATGTTAAAAAGGCCTAGTCATTTACATAATTAATGGGGGGAATTTATTTTAAAAAAAAGTTACTCCTATAAATTTGGGAGATAAAAAATAGAATGAGTTACCCTCTGCTAACTCTTATATTTAGTACACAGAGAGTGTAAACATTGCACTGGAATTTTGAAAAGACATGTGATGTGAAACAATTTTTTTTTCCAAACGAAAAAAAAATATGACGAAGTGGAGGGTGTATGATATAATCCCCAGTCCATTTAATTTCATCCACTAATTAAACACACATCCCCATATATGTTTTGATATTTCTGTTCATTGTTCGTGAGGAATTTAGAGCAGCGGCAACAGCAAAAACTATTGCTACAGCAGGTAATAGTTTTTCCATCGCGAACTTAATTATAACTTTATGTTTTAAAAAATAATCAATATCAATTGAACTGCAAAGCCCCACACGAGCAATGGTTTTTCTTTATTTCAAGCATATTAGGCTGCGGATGACAAAACATTGCCTATGATTTTTGGAGTTGCTTGCAGAGGAGCAGTGTTCCTTCTCACTTAGCTCGTTCATTTTCTCTCTTGAAGCAACCCACCAAATCTCCCTTTCCCCCCCGCACCGACTTTAACATCATGCCTTCTTGCTCATTCTTTATTCTCAAGTATATACAATTCGAAAGTCACAAGCCTCCCTCTATCTCTCTCTCTCTCTCTCACACACACACACAATCTATATATATTGATATATATATATATTTATTTATATTTGTGTGTGTGTGGCATATATAAACCAATCTTTGGCATAAAAAGCCTCCACTTTAATCAGGGGATTATTTTTTATTTTCCCTCTGCAATAATAACGACAACTTTCTGAGCAACATAAACGAGCCAATCATACGAGCATGATTGGTCACGGTGCTCAAACCAAATAAAAGGCTGTACTTTCTCTCCTTCCAGAAACAAAGATTAGATTAGACGAAGAAGTATGCTCACCAAAGGAGCTATATAGGAAGAATAATAGCTAGCCTAGCTAGCTACTATTTGAGCTTAATCTAGGTGGTTGGTGGTGAGAGATTCTGTGTGCCATCACTTATTCCATTTTCATCAGCGGCCAACCAACTCTAATTAACATGGTTTTGAGGCCTCATGTGGGGCCTTCATGATTTTGTTTAATGAAATTATTAGCGCCTAACTTTTCCTCTTGTGAGTTAATTACACTAATTCATAAACAAACCCATGTTACTCTGCTTCGTCGCCTTCGTGTTGACCAAACCCCAAAAAGGCTACAATAATATATCTAGTTGAACTAACCCGGCTACTCAATTAATAACCAAGGGGGGGAAATTAATCATCTCATATCACTATTCTAACTACCTTTTCCACTTATTTCGACATGACGCTCTTCCAAAGATTAAGAGGTTTGTAAGTACATATGGAATATTTAAATTAATCAGAACGTCCCCAGTAAATTAAATTAATTGTACGCATTGTAGAAATCATGGGCAGCACGTAAGGGCACGGAGAGAGTTTCAAATGAAGTGATAATTATGAAGTGAGTTGGAAGTAAATGTCATTATATGTCACTGCCAAGAAAGTAGAGAGCAGTTTTCAGTAAAAGGCTCAATTCTATTTTCTCTTGAACTTTCCCTTGCGTCCACACGCTTGCTTTTGTAAAGGCCTAAAAGGGCTATTTATTTTTCTTGACCGATCTCGCAAAAGGCTCCTCCCAACGCCACTCTCCCTCATTAAGCCAGACATCACCCTCTTACATTTCCCCCCCTTCCTCGGTGGCAATCTAACTCTTCTTGAAAGTGACATCCTGGATGCACAAAACCTTTTGGATTAATTTTACTTCAAACAACTCACAGGTGTTGCTCTGATGAGAGAAGCTTTAAAATGCATAAGATCTTGAATTTGAGTTCGTATGTAAAGACTTACATCAAATTTTTATAATGTGATGAACCAATATTTGAATCACTACTGGAAAAAAGTGCTTACATTTAATATTTGATAGGGCCTCGAAATAGTACTTAGCAAGAAAAGAATTATACTACTTGTAGTTCTTAATGTAAGATTTCATTTGACTTTTCTTTTAGTCATAAATATGAGACCTCAATTCACTTTGTCTATCATATTTATTTATTTTTTTACGATAGTCCTTTTAATTGTGGTAGTTCTAGCCAATAAACTTAATTAGCAAGGATATTTTAGAAAAAATAACACTTATTTATTACAAATAACTAACTTAACTTAGTTTCTTAATTTACTCAAATTAGTCAACTAACTTTTATATTTAGGAGCAGAGGGTAGTATTAAATTTAGTTTGGCAATATTCAAATATGATTCTTCAGATATTCATATGAAAAAATACTTCACGCACACTCCTTTCACTGGACGACTCGTAAGTGGTCTGCAGGCAGAAAAAGAACAGTAATTAATGTGCTGGTTTCTTGCTTCATGTTCCATGACCTGCATCGACCTCATTCCCTGAAACAGTGCTGCCAAGCACAAATAGAAGTCGACAGTCTAAAGAATCTCCATTCAGATTTAACAATCCTGATATCACGTAACCCTTAATGTGATATCCAATGCATCAACCAAATTTCAGATTTCAACCCGTGATTCATGTCTAAAAGCTGACTTCATGAATGAATTTGTTTTCTTCACACATTTGTTTAACTGTTTTCCCTCAAATTATTATACGCCGTAATAATGACTTTATTAATCATTTAATACTTCAATTATTTGATGAAGAGTGGTTCGGTATAGAATTCAGGCCTTCCTTCATCGCAGCCCAATTATCTCCAGCTAAATTGGTCCTTAGACTCTGAGCCTATATTCGTTTAATAGATCAGTGTTTTTTGGGCCTGAATAGATGCCCACATTTTACTTCGCCGCATAAGCCCGCAACAAGAGCGCATGTTAGTCGCGGCGGCGGGAACGGTGACCGCCTCCGATAGTGTGTCTGTACGAAAAACCGGAGCTGGGCGGGGCTGGCTCGAAGAAAGCGAAGAAGAAGAAAAGAGAAATAATATGGAATATGGATACAAGATGCGAGTGGCTTTTGCGATCGCTTCTTTGGCGGTTGTGTCAATCTACTTTACTGCTCGGTACCGCAGTCGGCGTAAGCGGAAGAATCCGCCAAGTTTGTGTTACTTACATGCCGACCCGAAGCCACAGTATGCTTTTAAGCGAGTATTAGCCGATAACTCGTACACTGCGTTCAAGCACTTGAAGCTCAACAACTCTACCGATGGTACATTTCTTGCGCTTTTTAATGTACAATGGCGTCACTTTATTTGATAACCAGAGAAACTGAAGGAGTTATAGATGAAGTTTATGCGTTTATTCATTAAAAAAAATTCTTTTCTTAATCCTGCTGCTCAGTTAGAAATTGCATGGGAGACATTATTTTTAAACTTAATTTTTCTTATTTTGGTATGCTTCCAAATCTCTGAGGCTAGCATTTCTGGATGGAAAGCAACGAACTTTTTTTACCAGTTGAACTATTATGAAATTTTTGAAATAGCTTGGTCCGGTCAAGCAAATAAGCAGTCAGTCCACAAACGGTAGAATATGGTAAAGCTATTGGAAATTACTTACAAAAAAAGAAGTACCTAACAGCTTCATTTCAATAATTCTGCTAATGAAAATAATCCAGAAAAGGCTAAATTTTATGTTATTAGTAACATTTAGACGACACTGCTAAAGACATTGTGTTGGTCGCAGCAACGAGTGTTCAATTTTACGCGGTGGAAAATTTGATACCAATAAACTCATGTGAAGCTTATTCTTTATCTGCGCAAATAACGAGACGGGCATTTCAATTTTAACCTCAGCAAGTGCTTGCTTGGTGAACGTATATTTTGGTTAAGCTAAGTTTATTGTTGCTTTCACAGAGAGGGCTTCAAACTCCCATCCTTTTGAGGCAGAGATTACAGCCTTATTTAAAGACCCTCAGCCTCAATTAGAAATCAGTACTGAGATTGAGGAGCTGAAGAAGAAAGATACATATGTTTGGATTGATACAGAGTTGCAATTAAAGGAGCTTGTCGATGTATTAAATAAAGAGAGGTTCTTTGCTGTGGACACAGAACAACATACTTTGCGATCTTTTCTTGGGTTTACAGCATTAGTTCAGGTCAATTTATGCTTGTCCTAAATTCTCTTATCTGATATATGATCTAATTTTTTTGGGATCAATCTTTGATGTATACATTTTTTTATATCAAGCAGATTTCTACACAGCTGGAGGATTATTTGATTGACACAATTGCCCTGCATGATTTAATGGGCATTCTTCGCCCGGTTTTTGCAAATCCTATAATTTGTAAAGTATGTAAGTTATTTCTGTCATATGTCTGGAATGTTCAACTATATAGAACTCGGAAACATGTATTCAATTGTATCTGCATGAAATTATCTGATGAAAACTATTATCCACTTTAATAATTGAGTTTCGTGAAAGCTGTATTGCACTTATTCTGGTAATAATTTGTGAGAATTGTTCATACCTCTGTGTGTGTTTGTTGGAGATTATAATAAAATCAATCTCCTGCCTTCACCTAATAGCTTAAATATTTAAAAAAAAGCGGTTATTAACATATCTTAGTGGGCGTGGATGACTCCTAGTTCTCTCGGGATTAGATTTTGTTATTCATTGATTATATTCTAGAGTTGATTTAAAAGTCTGTGTTTTAATCATGTGAAAATTTGTGGATAGGTGTTTCATGGAGCTGACAATGATATTGTCTGGCTACAGAGAGATTTTCATATCTACGTTGTTAATCTATTTGATACCTCAAAGGTGAGATAACCAAGTTGTGCTAATGTCATTGGATTCTATTTTAGATGCCATGTACCTTGTAGAAATGTCTTTGTAAGCATGATAGTGACAAGAAAAGGTTGCATTTTCTCATGGTTTGGCACCCTTTATTCTATCAATTTGCATTCCTGTAATGCAGGCATGTGAAGTGCTGTCAAAGCCACAGAAATCACTCGCTTATCTACTTGAAACTTATTGTGGTGTGACAACAAATAAATTATATCAGGTTTGACCTTGATCATGCACGATTTTCCTCTATTGAATGAATTGGTTGTCCAAGCCAAAGCTGTAGATAAGTTAAATAGCGCGGATTTAACATCTAAGGCTCTTTTTTTATTGATTTATCTGTAGTGTACAGCAGGTTACCGTCTCTAGAGCAGAGACAATTTCCGTTTTTGGAAATTTTTTAATTGGAGGCTAGATTGGCTACCTTCTTGGCTTGCTCCTTCTACCTACTTCTCTGTCTCTTCTTGTTTTTCATTTTCTTCATTTTTTTTTTTCAAAATTTAATTGCAGCGTGAAGACTGGAGACAACGTCCCCTCTCAGCAGCAATGATACATTATGCACAAACAGATGCACACTATTTGTTGTATATTGCAAATTGTTTGATCACTGAGCTCAAACAACTGGATAATGGTATGCCTTGTTTGATGTTGTGAGGAATGAGACCAAAAAAGTGGAAGTCCAGGATAACTGTTTTGATTTTTCCATTCAATATGAGGCTTATTAGCAAGTTGCATTGGCTGAAGAGCTTTCCTTTACGTTTTGTCTACTTGATTACTCTTTAGGACTTGACTTTCTGAAATTTGTTGCATCAAAATTCTGAATTTATGGTATCAGAAAACTCTGCTTCGATGACAAATTCCATTTTCTTCGAGAGGCTGGTCGACGTTCCAACATGACTTGTTTGCAACTCTTCACAAAAGAGATTGAAGCTTCTCCAGGGGAATCTGCTGCATTATCATTATTTTCACGATATGTGAGTGGTGAGAGTTCTTCAGTTTCGAGTGAAACTCAGGTTTGCTTCTTTCAGCACAAGTTTGAGGTAGTGTCTCTTCAGTTTGCTATATGGTTCTAACAGACGAGCTTCTTCTTTTTCTATAATTCAGTTTCAGAACCTTGTGAGGCGACTATGTGCATGGAGAGACCTCATGGTAAGTTAAAATTTGTATATGTTCCCAAAACATGGCTAAAATTTAAGAATGGTTCTCCTACTCTAAGGATCAGTATTTCTCGACTCTGTTGATTGACTTGATGAATAGGGATGGCTAGTACTATTCACCTTAACACAAACAGAGAACAGGCAGGACATCATCTTTTTCCACCACACAGGCGTAATCTCCGTAGCCTTAAAACACCTTTATTTTCTTATACAACAGAAATAATATTTGATTTTGCTTTGAGTATTGAGTTCCTGGAAGTTTACATGTAGTTGACATATTTTTATCAGAGAACTTATTTATTTATTTGTTCATATAATTAGTTTGGTATTTCATTGCTAAAAAAACGGAAGTTACATTGGTATTTCTATGTCACATTGGTTGTGATATTAATCTTCTATTACCACCTTAAGTTTTATATCCCTAATGAACAGACTCATAATTCTTGAGGTCTACATTTTACTGTAGAGTTTTAAAGGTATTCCACAAGGAAATTGCTTATAGGTTGATTGCTTATAGGTTGATTGGTTTGTTTTGCTGTATATTCATCTTTCCAGGCTCGCGTCCATGATGAGAGCTTGAAATATGTATTACCAGACCAGTCAATTGTTGCTTTGGCAAATCAGCCTCCGGCAAGTGACTCGGAAATATGCAGTGTCATAGCTCAGGCTGATATAAATATAGAAATGGGTGTCAATTCCATGTTCTCTTCTCCATCTCCTATCGTTGGCAGCCACCTAAGTGATGTCTATGATTTGCTTACAGACAATTTAGGTAACACCGAAGATATTTATTCAGTAATTCTTCAGAAGTGCCTTGGTCCAAATGGGAGTTGTCCAATTTCTCTTTTTAATTATTCTTTGTTGGTTAGCAGTAATCTGAGACCTATGATAGCCTATAAACACCATAGTGTAAGAAACTCAAAACAAGTTTCTCGGAAGGCTTCTCGAGATTTGTTTGTTCAGAAATTCTCTTGTAAATCTCCTGTTTATCATAATTGTCGGATTTATGCTAATGATGGGCGGCTGCTTTGTTACTGTGACCGGAAGAAGCTTGAATGGTAGGTGCACTTTTCACTTGCTTCTGTTCTATTTGTAAAAGAAGTCGTTTTGCTGATTCATCTTCTATTTTACAGGTACCTCAGTCGGGATTTGGCAAAACTAATTGATGAAGATCCACCTGCTATAATGCTTCTTTTTGAACCAAAAGGTCGCCCAGAAGACGAAGACAATGATTTTTATATCCAGAGCAAGAAAAACATATGTGTTGGCTGTGGTGAAGGAAATCACTACTTGCGGTACCGGATAATCCCATCATGCTATAGAATACATTTTCCTGAGCATTTGAAAAGCCATCGTTCTCATGATATTGTCCTGCTTTGTGTGGACTGTCATGAAGTCGCCCATGCTGCTGCAGAGAAATACAAGAGAAAGATAGCAGCTGAATTTGGGATTCCTCTCTATGTTCAGAGGGTAATTGATCCAGGACGAGCATCTGAAGTAGCCTCTGAAGAGGGAGGTGTTTCTCCCTTGCAGTTGCGAACGGCTGCCATGGCTCTTCTGCGCCATGGACCAAGAATGCCTCCCAATCGCCGTGATGAACTGACTGAGGTATGATCTCATTTCTGTCTGTAAGCATTTAGTAAGATTCATGGTTATCACGGACCCTACATGATGACACATGGTCTTTTTGAGTGTTCAAGCGTGATTTCTAAATTAGGCTCTCTTTTTTCCTTGATTTATATAGTTATTAACTGATTGTGATTGTTTAGAAAAGTTCTTAAACAGCTTTTTTTTAAAAAAAAAACACTAATCTATAAGCATGGGTATTTGACATCTTTGTGATTTTGTTTGCAGACTGTGAAGAGGTACTATGGAGGAAGGGAGATATCTGAGGAAGATTTGGAGAGAGCATTGCTAGTTGGCATGAGTCCACACGAGAGAAGACGATTTGAGAAGAAGAGAGGATATTCATTTAAACATTTAAGAGGTGCTGCTATGGAGACAGTACAGGAAAATCATGGTGATTGCTCACCCACAATGGGAGTTCTGGACACATCAAATTAAATGCTCTGGATGGTTCTCTGCAAATAAAGCAACAGGCAATGGAGAAAGTAGAGAGCTTATTACGGTAAAGGATGATGCTGGAAACCCCAATGCATCTTCTGACGCTGGAGTTAACGGAGCTGCCTCTGCTATCTTAACTGAACATGTGAGCACAGATAAAAATTCTGGTTCTAATGAGTTAAGTACCTCTGCTGTAGATCCCGATGATAGCTGTCTAAGCAGAAGGGCTCCAAATGGAATTGATGACTTATCCCTAGAGATGAAGAGTCTGCTGAAGCGAAACATAATCCAAAACTGTCACTCTTAGGACATGGACCACATGGAAAGCAAGTTGTTGAACATTTACTGAAGGAATATGGCGAGGATGGCATTCGTCAGTTTTGTCAGAGATGGAGACAAGTTTTTGTTGAATCTGTCAAACCACGGTTTCTACCTGCTGGCTGGGACATAAATCACAGGTACTTAATTATTAGATAATGATCTGTTCGTCTGCTTAGTTAGTAGCATAAATTGTTGAAGTGGCGAGCATTTAGTCTAGAGGTGTATTTGCCTCATCTTGAAATTGTGGGAATACACAGTTCTAATTTAAGAATGTCTATTGTTTGTTGCACCGTCTTCCCCTGTTATTGCTTCATCTGCTTGGAACTATCCCATCAGTCGTATCTCATGATGTGTGTTGCTGCAAATGCTTCTGAGTTACTGTTTGTTCTTATAGGATGCTATCGTTCTATCTCAATTTGCAGGCTGCAGCAGGTGGAATAGTTCATTTTCTTTTTTTATTTTCATTCTCATTTTCTTTGTATTTCCCCCGCTTCATAGCATTCATGATTGGGAGCAAACATGCATATAATTCCAGTTATTCATGATGCGCTTACAATATGATGCCTAGCAACTGAATTATTATTAACCATTTGTTCCAAGGGTTTGACGACGGACAATGTTTTTGCCAGTGGCAGAAGGGATTTCGGTGAATTCAGTGTCTACAATCCGCTCAGACAGACATCTGCTGCTGGCACGTGACTTGCAACGACCTTATTTTGGGACCTCCGATGCTACTATTTGTTCGTATTTGTTGCTCTACATTCTTGCCACCTTAGGTTATTTACAGGGGCGGAACTTTGAAATACGATGGAAAGTTGTACAAATTTCTGTGTCCTAATTGCACGTATCAGTAACTTGATATGGGAACAGGCTACACCGAGTTAGGCTTTAGCATCTCAAGTTCTGCCGATTTAAGTAAATGAGTTCAATCCGTTTGTACTATTTACATATAACCATCTTTAAATAAGCATGTTTAACGAGGTTAGATAAGATTTATTCCATCAAGCTCAAGATTTGCAGCCTTGGCAAATTTGGAAGGAGTGTCAGGAGAGCTTCTAAAGAGGATGGAGAGTTCAAGATGATTATGGGAGCTCAGACAAAGGAAAAAAACTTTGGAGTAGTAACACATGAGGAAACGTCTAGAGATAGCAGGCTAGCGTTATGTTTTCAATTTCTCTGCCGA